TGAATTTCCAAAGTGTTGCTCAGATTAATTTTATTTCAAATGATTTTTTTTCCTATTACAATTACGTTTTCCACGCAATTGGATTGATGAATTAGAATATATTCTGACAGATCAATCAGCTAATTATCTAATAAGATATTTCTCTTTTTACAAATTTTCAACAACAAAATCAAAAATCAAAAATCTGGAAATCCGATTTCGTCCAGATTTCATTCACCGTTTTATTTTACAGGTATCGATCTATATAAGGAACTCTCTACTTTAATATATCAAGTGAATTCTGCCCATTTTGTATAACTAAGTTCTATATATTAGGAACAATCTTCGTACAAGCATTGTTCAATTTTAAGAAGGATCGTAGTATATACATTGTTGGATTCTAGGAATAATCCCAGTTGAAACAGTGGAAATCCTTTAGACTCTTGATGACATCCTGATGCAATCTTTAGAAATTTTGATAACATCCTGGTGAAATGTGTTCAAAATGTCGATTCAATCTTTGGAAAATCTTTAGAATTCTTGATGAAATCCTTGGGAAATCTTCGTAAAATCTTCAGAAATCTCGACGAAATCCTTGAGAAATCCTTGGGAAATCTTCAGAAATCTTGATGAAATCTCGATGAAATCTTTGTGAAATCTTCAGAAATCTCGACGAAATCCTTGAGAAATCTTTATAAATCTTGATGAAATCCTTGGGAAATCTTCAGAAATCTGGATGAAATCCAGGGGAAATCTTCAGAAATCTCGATGAAATGCTGGGGAAATCTTTAGAAATCTTTAGAAATCTTGAGGAAAATTGGATGAAATTGTCAGAAATCTCTAGTAAATCTTTGGAAATTTTGAGAATGCTAGAATGAAATCAGTGTGAAATGTTGATTGAATCCTTGTGCAATCGGAACAGATTCAGCCAACTTCTGATGAAATCCGACTGTATTCTGTCGGAGCCTTACGTTATCAGGCGTTTCTCTGTGAAAGGATCCTGGTGGTTACGGCATTATCTGACAAACAGTTCCGACAGGATCCGATCGGATCCTTTCCGACGTAATCCGATCCGGAATCCGTTCGTTAGGAATCCTGTGAAATACGGTTGGGTTCCGATCGGATTTAGTTGGGAACCCGACGAATTCCGGTGTGATCCGACATCGGATCCGATAGTTTCCGGTAGGATCTACAGGTCGGATTGAATCACCTGGGTGTGTCCGTCCGTCTGGTTGGCTGTTTCCATGATAACTTTTGACAGCAGAGGCAGATTGCGATGAAACTTTCTACACAGCTTAGTCTTGACAATATTTCGGTCGAGAGAAGAAGATGAGAAGGACCGGCCGAGTCGTTCCTGAGTTATTGCAAAAATACTCATTTTTCCCTATAGCTTCCTATGGAAAAATGGACCCATCGCGACTTCCGTGAAAGACTTTTCCTATCATAGTCAATTAAAACCCCAACTATTATATACCATTCGATAGAGAATTTCAAGAGCTACAAAATGATATATAAAACATAAAGAAACAAGTAGGTAGACTCACCTATCACAAGGATAATTAAAGAAAACTAAGTTATATTTTGGTCCACAATAGAATTGATTCACAAATAGAGCTCTGTCTTTCTATCACAGTGATGATACTTCGAGGTTTTCAGATATGGAGAACTCGAATGTGTACTGCACTTCGATCGAAATACTATTGGTTGTGCAGTGACCAATAGAAATCAATTTATAGGAAAAACGACTTTCTTAGGGTAAATCAAGGGAAAGAGTTCAAACTCGAGCTGTATTCGGTCCCATGTCCTATTGATTTGGCAACGCGCAATAGAAATCAACGTTTTAAATGGTAGGCTCCGCAGTATAGTTTTGATGTTCAGACATTCTAGGATGACTGATTTGTATGGTTCACTTTTTGAAGTACACATAACTCTCGGATTTAAATCCGAAGTTTCCGCATTTATTTTTTCTTTTTGTTCTGGAAAAAGGCTATTTTAACAACATTGTTCAACCGATGTCCATAACAAAAGATTGGTTCAAAATCTTTAAAAGCACAAACAAAATTACTACCTCTATCACATGCGATATTCACATCAGTCAATGACTTGATTCCGAAATAGCTCAAGCAATTATGAAGTGCCTAAAGAAAATTACAATAAATTTGAATTTTGAAGCTAGAAAAAAGTCAAATAAGTCTCGTAAGAACCGAGAGGCTAGCTGGTTTAGAAACCATTTCTATATATATCAAATGATTAGTAAGTCATAATCAACTAAGATTAAGATTTTCCTTAAAGAAAAGTAGCCAAATTGTTTTTATATTTCTTAAACATTTATGCAAAAATACCAAAAATCCTTTTAAATTTATTCTATTCCAGAAAAATATTAGTTTTAAGAATGCTAAATTATAATAAAAATTAAAAGAAAGCTCTGAAATATTTTTCATAGTTGTATATAACTAATATGATATAGAATATAAGAATCAGACATACTTTTAAAGTATATTCAGCTGTTTTTCTTTCATATTCAGATGGTTTACAACATAAATCAATTAATGTATAACAATATTCGTCATCAACGATAATTACACTAACACCTAAATAAGATATTTTTTTGTATGGATCTATCCAATAATCTGGACAGATTGTTATTGAATGTTCTTTTAAAGGATTTGATAAAAGTTCTTTTATTTGTTCACGACAAATAGCAGCAAATGAAGTAACATGTCTTGATATTGTTTTTTCTCCACGTAATAGTTCATAAACATCAAATGCACCACAATTAGCACCTAATAAAGACAAAAAAGTTATAAATGATGTATTCATCTATTTTTCTTACCCAAACGAACACACTCTTGTGCTAAACGTCTAAAACCTGAATCATCCAATATACTGAAGGGTCTAATCCCCCCACAAACCCATTCCACCGATAAATCTTTTATTTTTTTAATATCTTTTTCATTAAATTTTCTAGATTTAGTAAATCCAATTTGATTCAAGGTTACTTGTGTTGATGATGATGATGATGATGATGCAGCTTCTGAAGTTTCAGACAATGGGAAACATTTATCGGCATGTTCTTTAAAATGTTTTGTGCCACTTAATTTATTATAAATGTGTGTTTTCATGCATTTGGTACAACTAATAAATCCTTCAATTCTCTCCCATTGATTATCTTCATTCAATCGTGCTGGAAAACCAAATGCTCGCCACCATAAGGCTTTGGATGGACATGGGTTTTCAATTATTTTATATTTAAATTTTTCAAACATTAAGAGGCGCTTGACCTTCTCAGAATCGAGTGAGTCCATATTAAATAACAACGAAATTACAAAATATAAAAAACAACAACGAGGTTAACAAATGAAAAACGAACATCAACACAATCAGAAAATTTAAAAAAACAACAATGAAATTAGAAATTGTCAAAAGAAAAACAAAAGTAAACTCACTATTTGACGAGGTGAAGATTTAAATCAAATATGCTGCGAAAGATCATATGCGAATCTGAAAACGTTTAAAACAAGATATCAAAAAATCAAATGAAGCAAGTTACTTGTTAAGTTATACAATTGTTATTAATCCATTATTTATCACATTCAACCTCCAATCATTGTTTTCTTTTTGTATATATGCATATATTGTATTGGACGTCGCTACAATTTAATGTAATTGATAATATTCAATGAACATTTCCGATACTTTCACCACCAAATATTATCAAAGTTTCACTTCTGTCAATGAAATCACAGTGATATCAATTGATAGTTCTCAGAATATAAAAATTACTGATCAGAAATTTTTTTTAGTTAGGTTTCGAAAATTCATCAGGGCCAAAGTTTTTGCGTTGCCCTGTGACGGTCTCTGTTGGAGACAGATGTTTTTCTTTTTACAGTGCTGTTATTCGATATTAAAATATTATCAATAATATCTCATTTGATCAAAGAAAGAGTGTTCTACACGTTGATATACTTTACAAAAGAAAAAATAATATTGATTTGATAGAGAAAAAACCTGAATCAGATTATGTCCTTTTTTGTTAAAATCAATCAAATAGAAGAGCCACTAAATACTAGTTATAATTAGTTGCTCTTAAAGATCCTTGATTATTCCTAGTTTTTCAGCTAGAAAACCAAGTTAACAAATATTGTCAAAGATATAGTCTTGTAGAGAATTTAATTCTGTTCAAAATGAAGTCTTTAAATATACTACAACTACTTTCCCCTCAAGATGATAACACTTTATCTCTTCAAGTGTATTTTCTTGTACATAAATGGAAAAAAATTGTCCATTCTATGGCTTTTTATACTCATGACATATACAAAAAGCAATAGAAAGGACAATTTTTTTTCCATTATGTGCAAAAAAATGTCATTGAAGAGATAGGGTGTAATCATCATGAGGTAAAAGGGCGCATCTATAAAGGACATCCGCAATAAAAGAAAAGAAGGAGCTGACGAAAGACGGGAAAAATCGGATAAGGGAACAAGGGGTGTTCGGCAAAGCTGAACGTCCGAAAAAACAACTATCAAGTTTTCGTCTTATACTTTTAAATTTTGACTGAAAATGTCAGTTTGGTCAGTCTGGAGTTATCGAAGCGCGTTTCATCGGTTTCATCTGACAACTAAGAAGATTCTCGCTACTGTTGCTTATGGAGCGTATATTAGTTTTGTTTATTTCAGTTCTTCCATTATATGTATTTTTTTGCTGCAAGAGTAAATATGTCGTTCAGCGGAATTAGCTTGATATATTGAAAATAATGAAGCATGGACAGCCAAGGAATTAGTTGAAGGATGAAAACTCTGTGATGATAAGTGCTATAAACTAAAATTTTGTTCTGTAACTTGTTTTTGGTCTTTTTGTGCTTGTCTGTTACAGAAAGAGATTTTTCCTGTGACTACCTATGATTTAATAGTCATTCTAATCCTGTAATCCTACCCCGTTTACATGATTTACTGCCGTGTAAACATTTGTTTACAAATAGATCTTTTTTTTATATAAGAAGTTATATGATTAAGTTCGATAAGTCTATTGATCACAATGGAATATTTTATTTTGTTTCCTATGTCAAAAGTTTATTTTTCATCTCAAACGTTCGTAAAAGTACGTTGAAATCTAACTACAGTTCGTAATGAGCTTTAAAAAAAAACTAGTACATGTCAAAGTTTTATTTTTCTTGTCAAACGTTTGTAAAAGCTCATTGAAATCTAGCTATAGTTAGTAATGAACTTTAAAAAAAAAACTTGTTCTATGTCAAAAGTATGTTTTTCATGTCAAACGTTCGTAAAAATCTATTAAAATCTAACTATTGTTCGTAATGAAGTTTATGAAGAAAAACTTATTTGATGTCAAAAGTTTATTTTTCCTGTCAAACGTACGTAAAAATCTATTAAAATCTAACTATAGTTCGTATATTTTTTTTAGGTTTCTTCACTAGTGGATTTTCATTTCTAATATTTCTCTAATGATTTGCTATTAAATATATTAAATCAAGCGATTTAGTATATTGCTAAGTTTACTAAATAGAATGGTACTATTGTAATGTATTACTGATTTTTCTTAATGGTATGTTGTGATCATTAGCTTATCTTAACTATAAATCATATAACTTACCAATTTGGATAAATAATTGTTAATTGTGCAGATGTGAGACTTTTATTTTATATTTTTAATAATTTTTTTTAATGTGTAGATGTATTCATATAAAGAAAATCGTAAAGATCGATTGACCGACATTTACGCGCATGACAATTGCGCGCCGACACTTACGCGCAGACATTTGCGCGCATGACACTTACGCGCACGACGATTGCGCGTATAGACACTTGCGCGCGAATTGAGAAAAAGATGATAAATTATTTTTTTCTTTAATTTGATTTGAATTATGAACGGGCGGAAATTTATGTTTAACTGCTGATAGAAAAATAGTTCCCAATTTCAAAAGATATATTGATATAAATTATTATCAGAGATAAATAGTATTTATTTACAATAAACAAATACGCTAAGTGAACAATAATTGAGAATAAAGAACGTAGTCAATCAGAAATTAAACACTGATCTGGCCATTTTAAAATAGTCGCTCCTTGAAACAGTATGAAATTCTTTGATCATGTTTCGTATTCGAAGATCAATTTTTTCATATTTTGTGCGTTTGGTTTGTGTGTGTGTGCCAGCAAGAACTTGATTCCAAACAATTGTTGTATTTTTTTCTTCTCGTACAATGTCTTTGATAAAGGTAAAAAAACTAGGATGATCGCCGACAACATTCTAAATATGAGATACTTAATTACAAAAATAAGAAGTTTAGTTACACTTACATGGAAAGCATTATGCCATCCCTCTATGGCGTTATTAGTTCGAGGTAAATCTTCGTTGATTCTTTCGAAACAATTCCACATATTGATATCGTATCGAGGATTTTTTCTGCGATTGCGAGTCATTGTTCTTCCAATAAAATTATTTTCGAAATACAAAATCAAATCTAAAACTTGACAATATGTAATAAAAATTTAATATATAAAGTTTCTTACCATCTAAAATATCAGATGCATTTTCTTTTATGCGTCCAAATTCTTCAACAACATTATTAGGTGGAACAAAAGCCAATGCTGCTAAATTTTTCATAGTTCGACGATTATTTTGGTTTTCCAGAAATTCTTTTTTTAAATGTAATTCCTACAAAATAATTATTTAATAAGGTAAACTGAAATAATTAGTTTACTCACACAAATATGTTTCCAAATACATTTTTTAAAATGAAAAAAACAGCCAAGAATTTCACATCCTGGCTATATAACATTAAATGCATTTTCTGCTGCTTTTTCAAAGTCGATGGTAATATAATCAGGTTTTCGTCGAACATGTTGAGCCACTATTCGAAATAATTCTTCATAAGTTTTTTGATCTTTATTTGGTAGAAGTGAATATAATAATGGTAATTTTTTACCACGGATTGAACCATGAATAGAATACATTTGTTCAAATAGCTTAGGTGCTACCTGCAAATAAAGAAACATATTAAAATTACTTTAGTTATACCTATACTACTTACGGCAAAAGTGCCGTCGCAATGCCAACTTTCGCATTCATTAAGAAAATCTAAATGTTGTTTTGTAGTAAAGATTAATATTCGTCGTTGATTGTCATTATTATCATATAAAAGAAATTGTTCATTTAATGCATTAACTTGATAATTTGATGGTATAATAATATCCGCAAATGTTTTAGGTTCTGTTTGAACATCTTTATCTCGTCTAACACGTTGAATTGAACGTTGCGATGCTGTGTATTGTGGAATGTTAATTGCAGCATCTAATGATATTTTAAGACGAGCATTTTGAATGATTAATCGTGGTGGATCATGACATTGTTGCGCATTCTTTTTAATTTCATAATTATAAAATGCTTTTTCAATTTCATCTGGATCTGGTGCTCGACATATGTGATCTTGATAAGTTGTATAAATTCCATCATCATAACGAGCACGTCCTTTGCAGTTGTTTGTAACACAGCGCCAAACTAATCTATCCCGACGGTATCGATAACCATCAAGTAGAAGTTGGTCTTTCTCTTTGACTGATTTTATAAGAGACATATTTATATCTTAGAAATTATTAAAATAATACACACACACATATATATATATATATATATATATATATGCTTTCTCTTTATACTTTTATCTGATTTATTTTGTCTAGTTTTAATCTCATTTTGATGCAAAAAGCATATTTGATGTTAAAATTAGATAATCTTTTGATTCTCATTAGTGTCTTTTATGTATTTTCTTAATAATCCAATCTCACTAACAGAACATTTTTATTTCTGTTAATACATATGAGTAATTCAATTAGATGAGAACAGAACGAAAAAATTTTTATTTTACGCGCAAGCGTCGTGCGCGTTCACGTCTTGTGCGCATATGTCCTGCGCGTAAATGTCGGCACGTAAGTGTCGGCGCGCAATTGTCGCGCGCGTAAATGTCGTGTCACGGTAAAGATCAATAATCATGTTTACGAAACAAAAGATAAACGGGCCTTTTATGAAATTGATTCATTATTGTTAATTAAAAAAATTCATATATAAACCATTGATAAATTGAACTTTTAAATTTTAGAAAAAAAATGTAATAATATATATTAAATGATCATTCAAATATTACATGATAAGGACGAGAGAGAGAATTCGTCAAGAATGACAAATAATGGTTCTAGATAAAATAGGGGTCGCTTAAAGATGATGTATTTTATTTCGAAAATTTTCTTTTGATATTAGGATAATATGCTGTTGGTTGAATTGAAGCAACAAATGATTCTTAGTTTTGTTGTTTTCATTGTGCGACAAAAAATAAAAGTTAAGATTTAAAATCAATGTGATCATATAATTTTTTTTTCTCACTTTTAGTAAAATGGAATATTTGTTTTTGTAATGAACGTAAAGAAATTATTGTATTTTATAAATTATAATTGTGTGACAGTTTGTTTGATTTTTAATCATTTATACTGGTTGATGTTTTTTTTATAATTATTTAATGATAGTATTACTTAATGTGTGGCAATAAATGTTTAAGTTATCAATTAAATTAAAAAAAAATTTTTTTAAGTAAAATATTGTAGTAGTAGTGTAATGAAGAGAGAGCGTAGTTATCGAAGATTTATATTTGTGCATTATATTGAAGAATGGTGTGGGTGTGGGTGTGGGTGGGGTGTGGGTGTGGGTGTGGGTGTGGGTGTCTCTATATCTTTTTCAAGCCACACCCACACCCTCATGTTTTATGGCTTTTTTGCCTGATATTTGTGACCCGAGTCCCAAACCGCTGTTTTTTTTTCGTCCATAATCAATGGAACCTTCGATAAAAACTAGCCACTGCATAGAGCACAATTCGCTCTTCCGAATGATATGTTATGAAGAAAATTTTATATTAAAGAGAGCGTACAGGAACTTACGCAAATAACTTGTTTAGATAATTTTGGAAGAATGAAAAATGGCATACTTCGATTGTTTCATCAATAAAATCTGAATAGATAGAGAGATCGACCATGGATTTTCCTTGATTAAAGTCCAAGTCATGAGCTATGATGTGATGAGAACCAGATTATTCTTGCTCATCTAGTTTTAGAAATATAAACAAAACAAAAAAAGTCTGCTTACTTGTTGGATATATTCGTAGTCACTGTATGTAGGAGTTTCAAAAGACGAGAATAGAAGACTTATATTTGAAATTAACTTTCTACAAAATTAGAGATAAGGATTTGTTCAAAGTTTTTTCCAAATATAGTCGGTTTAGTTCTAATTGGTGTTTCAAGTAGAAGTTTCTGATCTTCAGCAGAGTAGAATCGATCTTTGCTCTCTAATAGCGACTTTTAATAGTCTTTCATGATGAATTGTATAGTTTTTAAGCTTGTTTTCTGGTCTATTTGCAGCACAAGGGTAAAAGAATGGCATCTATATCATCTTCTGGCACTGATTTAATCAGCATTACAGTTCAAATATCTTCGAAGGGAAGTGATGCGACAGTAGATTTAAACAATATTCCGTCATCGATGACAATTGGTGAGTTAAAAACAAAATTGAATGTACGACCAAACTCACGCTTTGGACGTTTAAATCAGTTTGAAAATTGGGATAATCAACGTCCACTGTCTGACTATTTTGTCAAGAATGGTGAATCATTCGATTGTGTCATACAATCTGTCATAGAAGATGAACAGCGGTCTTCCGATGATTATGATGAATGGTTATTAGCTAACCAACGATCAGTAAAATAACAAGTTCAAGGTCGATTATATGCAATAAAACTTTTCTTTCATTTGATTATTCAAAATATATCGCTATAACCTCTTTCATATCGAATAAACTATTTGGCTAAAGCTTTTGTGTTCGTGTGCTTCTATTACATAATAAATATCAATGCTGATTTGATATTTAATACCTTTTTTATCCGAATAACATTTAATTTTGACAAAGGCAATATAGAAAAAAAAACAATTCATAAAAATGTTCTAGGAGTCGAAGATATGATCAACATTTTGAATATATAAAAGTACAATAGAACATATGGACAAGCACAGACTGGAGAAATAGTATATGATAGAGAAGAGAGAACTAAAATCGTTTCTTTTTCAATATTTATTTTTCTTATCCTCAATTCTGAGAGGATGAATATACGGAGCCGGGAATGGATAGGTGAAGTTAATATTCAACTCGGGTATTTCCAGCCCCGATTCTCCCAGGAAGTGTTCCAAGTGTTCTCGTTTGTAGTCCAAGTAGAGTTCGACGTGTTCTATCGAACGGTGAAATCCGATTTACGCTATCTCAAACTATATGTTTACAAGTTGAAAAATACCGATTCTGCACCATGGGTCATCGGGAACCCATAGAGTAATTCCAGCCGAAATTCGCCCAGGACGCGTCCCAGGCGTTCTTGTTTATGTTTCGAGCAGAGCTCGATGTGCTCTATCGAATAGTGAAATCAGATTTATGGCATCTCAAACCATACTTTTACAAATTGAAGAATACTGGTTTTTCCGCATACGCTATAGGAAACTCAGGATATAATTCAAGTATCAATCTGCCCAAGATGTGCTCCAGATCTTTTTCCTCCGTGCTACTAGGTAGAGCACGTCAAACTCTATTTGGAACACAAACGGGAACATTTGGAACACTTCCTGGGCGAATCGGATGCTAACTTCACCTACGTCATCGAAATTTCTAGTGAGTTTGTCTGCGCTCTAATTTGTGTTAAAATGGAAAGCATGTGTTTCAATCACAGAGTCGATATTTTGAGGTTCTATCCCAATTTGAAATAGATTATCAAGAGTGATAAACTTGAATTTGAACTTTATTTTCCTGAAAACTCTACTGAACGGCCAAGAATCCATAGAAGTCGAATTTTTTGGAAAACCAACTTCCTAGGGATAAAGTAGGATAGGTATTGCAAGTCTGAGCTCCATGTGCTTCGAAATTCCATTGGTGAGTCAAAAATCAATAGAAATCGATTTTTGGAAGGAAAGTCCTACCAAATATTCAACCTAACTTAGATCTACATCCATACACACCTCACCCATACTCACACCCTTACCTACACATCCATCCACACCCACACCCTAGTTGTAAGACTCTATATTCACTGGAGTCAAATTACAAAGCTCAGATGTGCGCAATATGATAAAAAATAATCGCATTTTTTCATTTTCGTATTTGATGAAGCTTAGTTGCATATTATTTTTTATCAAAACAATCCATTAGGCTTTTGCTATATAATGTTAGCTCGTTTCACACCCCTCAGATTCACTAAAGACCAGTAGCGTGCAAGTCGGTTATAACACAAGGAGCAACGATGCAACAATATTGGGTTGTTATATACATCGCTGTTGCGATTATGGTGGTCAATGGTCGTCCAGAAGACCTACGCGTCGAAGTAATTCCGATGCAATCAAAATTTGCTGCAACACAAAAAGTAAATGTCCTCCTGAAGTACACCAACACTGGCAGTGACTCGATGGGTATTTACAAATGGTACTTGCCTGAAAAGGAACTATGTGACCCAATCTTCGAAGTGACTCGAAATGGAGAGCGTGTCGAGTATGTCGGTCCAATATTTAAGCGACGCGCGCCAACAGCTGAAGATGTGATCTACTTGACACCGGGCATGACCGTGAGCACTATGGTAGAGCTGTCATCAGTATATAATATGACTCAGACAGACAGCTATATGATCCAATACAAAATGAATGCTGACCAGGTACTGACTACAATGGATGATATAGTCAACTATAAAATCATGTCATCTTATGATGGTCAAGAGTCTGTACTACAGTCAGCTCCTGTCGTGGTGTTTGTCGTAGGTCATCGGAATCTACTGATCGAACAAGCTATCGAGGCCAGCACACAACCGAGAGCACTCACACCCACTTTTATTAGTTGTACAGCCAGTCAATCCAGCTCCATTAGAAGTGCAATTACTGTGGCTGAAAATTATGCTAACGATGCCATGAACCATTTGAACAGACAACCATCGGGCACGGCACGCTACACCACTTGGTTCGGCGGATATTTGTCCAACAATTGGAACACATTAAAATCACACTTCTCGAAAATTCAAAGTGCGTTACATAGCAAGTCGCTGGTATTCGACTGTTCGTGCCCTCTTTCACATGCTCAGGATTACTACGCCTACGTTTATCCAAACCAGCACTATAAAATATACCTGTGCGGTTCGTACTGGCCATCGTCGATGACCGGTACGGACAGCAAGGGTGGCACGATTATTCACGAATTAGCTCATTTCACAGTAGTGGCCGATACGGATGATCATGCATATGGTCAAAGCAAGGCCCAACTTTTAGCCCAAAGCAATCCGGCCAAGGCACTCATGAACTCCGACAGCCTTCAATATTTCGCCGAAAATAATCCGACATTGAATTGACATTTTTTCATTTGACTTTCTTTTCGTTTTTTACTATGACTCATTTGTTTTTAAATGATCATTCAATGATAAAGAAGGAAAGAGCAAAATTTCCATAAAAATATATGATGATGATGATGTAGAGGAAGTAAGCAGCCAATTCGAGTTTTGTCAAGAACGATTCGCCCCATTCACTGAGTCGACTCAGAAATTCAATGAGATAAATGCACCTTGACGATCTCTATCGAATGTTGTCTTCAGATTTTTCATGGAAGCTAACCCACACAAATGAAAGCAAAAGTATTGATTTTCTCTAATAGAAAAAAAATTAAAAAAAAAGCTTGTCTCTGATCATTTGCTCCCCACCTGAGCCACTACTAAGATATAGCTTATTCGATGCAACTCGATGAGCTACACCAAATGACGTACGTTCCATCCAATTGAAAGCAGCACAACTTTGACCAAAATCGCTGAGATACCAAAAATCCGGTACTATGCCAGCGTACAACTTGGTAGAGATAGGGTGGAATGTGAATGTCAATGAACAGAAGACCCAGCACCGACACACATATTTATTTCCAATATTATCATTCCTAATAAAGTAGGGGTGAGAAGTTATTGTGGGTGTGTGTGGGTGTGGGGGTGGGTGTAGGTGTGGGTATGGGTGTGGGTGTGGGGGGTGTGGGTGTGGGGTGGGGGTGGGGGTGGGTGTGGGTGTGGGTGTCGGTGGGTGTGGGTTTGGGTGTGGGTGTGGGTGTGGGTGTGGGTGTGGGTGTGGGTGTGGATGAATTCTTCAATGATATCGATACCCACACACCCACACCCACCCACACCCCACACCCACACCCACACCTACACCCACACCCAGCCACCCACACCCAAACCCATACCCACACCCACACCCTTCGCTTATTAAAGTGACACATATTAGAGAGCGACATCTGTTCTTTATTTTCTATTGATCGATATAACTTGTCGTTTTTGTTTTGTTCCTTCCGCCGTCATATGAGATCATTCATATAAAAAACTAATTTTTCTTCTTGATACAGATTATGCTTCACTTATCATTATCATATTGCTGGATTATATTTGACGTTATTCGCATAGTTTATAGATCTTCCGATCATTAACTTTTTTTTTCTAGTTGAAAATGGACGACATCAAACGAGAAATAATAGCCGATCTTTCTCAAGCAAGAAAACAATCATCTTATGATAAGATCAAATAAAAATATTACTTTACTTATTTAGGTATTAAATAAAATAAATGATGGTTCAATTGAAGATGATAAATTAAACAAAATGGAAAAAATTGTTGTAAGTTAGAGACATTTATTTTATATCTAATACTGGTATACTTATCGTTCAGGATCATATGTTAGCAGTGATTGATTTTTATAATGTAAGTACAAGATAATATGTTTTATTTTCAATTTCTAACATATTTATAGAATCAGCAAACATTATCATCATCGTCACCATCGCCACCAATTATTCGACAACACGAACAAGAAAAAGAACAAGAACAAATAAATAATACATTATCCAATGATGATCATCGAGAAACTAGTAAGATTTTAATTAGTTAGCAAAAATAGTATGCTGATTATAAAACATAAAATTCTTGTCAATTTTTTTGAGGAACATCTCCTTCGAAAGATCATTAAAAAGTTAAGGAAAGAAAAGTTGTGAACATATTCGAAGTCTACTATGTCGACTAACATTGTTTGAAAATATTTCTATTTATGTAATACAGAGGTGCAGAATCTTCCTCATGCGCCCCCGCGCGGGGAGGGAAATTTTTTGAAAAACTCAAATAATAGGGAAATTTGGGAAAAACCCGCTGGCCAAAAAAAAATACCGTGGGGAAATTTTTCAAAAAACATTTTTGCGTGGGGGGAAATTTTTGGATTTTTGGAAGATTCTGCACCTCTGATGTAATAGCTCATCTCTACTCCATCTCAACATTTTTTTCCAAATGTTTCCTTTCCGAGTGGTTCGAGTGAATATTACGATAAAACTAAATTTCTCGAAAAATATATTATTCGAATTCGTTTTATCCGCTATTTTCAAATTCACTATTTGTTTATTTCTACCAGAATAGACTATAATGATAATAACTATCAAGTATGGATAGAGATTCATAGGAGGTTTCTATTCTTTTTCAGTTCAATAGAAATCAAACTCGAACATTCTCAAGAAATAAAATAAAAAAGGAAAAAGCTGAATAATTACATTTGGAGTTAAGAGCCCAACAGTCTGAAATAATATATAAGTTTTCGTTGTGGATCTTCTCAAAAAACTATTGAAATTTCCAAACATGTCCATAACTATATGCTTGAAAATATTTTGAAGATATTTCTATTCGATTGGATATTTTTCAACATGATTCCATTTAAATTCAATCAAATGATATTTTCTACTCATTTAAATACTCACGACAAATATCAACTTTCCTTATATTTTTTTTTTTTTGCGTTGCAAAAAAAAACAATTTTTCCGATGTTCTCTGTTAAAATCTTATATTAAACTCTTTCCTTTTTAAATGAGTTTTGGAGATGACGCGCAATTTTTTCTCAATAATTTTTTTGTTGTATCTTATGCGAAATAGGGATGACTAGAAAATGCATTCAGTTTCACTTTATCATCGTCTTTGAGAGCGTCAATTTTGTTCAAGTTTTGAGATTTTTGTGAACAAATCTCTACTTGAGAATGGTTAGGAAAATCATTTTTTTTGTTGTTTTTAATGAAATCTACATGAAAAATACTATAGAAAAATTGTGGATTTTATAGTAAACGTACCTTTTTGTTAATTTTTAAGAATTTTTGATGAAAAGTTTTTAAAAAATTAACTTTCTCAACAATCACAATACAGTAGAGACTAAAAAGAATATGGTATAACTAACTTCGAGACAATCGAATAAAGATAGTTTTAAGAAGAAAATTACTTGTCTGTGGTTTTTTTGTCTGGATTTGCTTAAAGTGTCTCTCAACTCTTCTCGTTGGATCGAAACAAGCCAATGAAGAAAAATGCTTGAACAATTTTATGAACTTTTCTCAACGACAATTCAACTACTGATTGGAAGACTATCTCTATTGAATAGGATTTCGAAAGGGAAATTTGCCTTTTTCGAATATACAGCTATGAGTATCTCTACTTTCCTAATACAATCTACATCTCATATACGATGTTAAAACTAAATAGCGTTATGATAATAGTATATGAAAAAAGAATTTTTATAATATAAAAAAGAAAAATTTTTCTTAATCAAAAGATTCGTTAGATTTTAAGATCGAAGAGTTAGGAATAGAAACATTTTCATAGTTTAGTTAGTCCTTCTAAGTATAGGTAAAAGAAATAAAATCGAACTCTTAGAAATAGTTCAACTACTTCTATCGTCAATATTCAATTATTTAATTGTACAATCATCAATTCTATCTTCTTTTTTTTGTTTTGTCCATTAGAACTATTCAAGATCTTACGTCGATGGTCTGGTATTCATCATCATCACAAAGAAAAACTCGACTAAGAACAACTGAAAGACATTTTTCTTTTTTTTGGTCGTCGTCGGTTTAGTTTTTTTTCATCAGTATTATTAGCGTTACTTTATTCTATAGTAGAACAAATGTGAATATTGATGAAAGTTTTTTTTTCTTCTGTAAATATATCTATCTATGTCAGAGATCCCCAACTAACGAACTTGAATTGTATTCACTAATTCCATTGGTTCAATTTGAAAGAGGCAAATAAAACGATTATTGATTGTCTATTTGTCAAAAGAATAATTTTTTTTTTTTATGAATTTATTCGATAATTATGACGATGTTCAACAGATCTTCGTTGTTTACAAAATAATCGACAGAGAGAAAAGATGAAAATGAATATTTTTCAAGAATAATTATTTTTTATATGAAATCAATAGGATCAATATTTGGATATGATTTTATTTGTTTTATCATAATATTATATTAAATATAGAGTTCAGATTTATCTATCAGTTGTTCAACTTGAAACATAAATCTACCATCATTAGAATTATCTTATACGTTTACATGTCACATATTGAACTATTCTATCTCATTAATAAATTTATATGAAATGTAAATGTATTAGATATTCTATCTGAAGATAATTATTATTGTGATTCATCTCGAATATATTTGTTTGAATGATTTTAGTCAAATATGATCAATCAGATGATGAATTTTAAATGTCAAATTTGGATCGGGTAGATAACTAAAAACGATCTGTTATGGTTACTCTTTATGGTAGATGTTAATAAAAATGAACATTTTCAAAAAAAGACTTGTTCATTCTATGAAAATATTTCAAAGATTTAATTTCGATGCATATTTTACTCTTATAGATATACAAGTTTATATTCTCTTTTTTCTTTTATTATAAATGAAAAAATTCATATTTTATATTTTTGTTAGTCTTGTTTAAGTATCATTTATAATATTGAAATGATCCAAGTTCAACAATAAATCATTTATTTGGAATAATTTTATTTTAATAAAGTTAAACAAATTTTAGATGAAACGTTAAATAATACAGTTATTGATGGTTTCGAAGTTTATGATCAAGATAATAATCGACCAGTTTCATCGAAAGTTCAACGTCATCAAATTCCTATTTTATTTATAATTAAGAATTTTTTACGAACCTAACAGAGATATTGTTTTCTATATTACACAAATAAAATATATGAAATTTGTCAAATAGAGTTTCTGCTGATATAGAAGGTCGTCTATTCCATTATCATGCATAAGATAAATTCTATCAATATACTTATCTATCAAAAGAAAGTAAATCTATGATTTACCAAAATATCATATTGGTATAGCATCGATCTTTTACAAATACATTTGAATATAATTCGTTATTATTCAGTTCAATCTTCTCTATTATCAACTTGAAATAATATTGAAATATTTCAATATAGATTTAAAACATAATCTCTATCATTTTAATATTCGTTGAATGATACTTCTATGTTTAATAAGAATTATTAAAAAGAACAATTTTATCATTGTTTATTTTATTTATTTCATTTCATCATCTTTCTATCGGAAATATAAAAGTAAAATCTACTTTTTTCTATTCCTAAAAAAATTTCTTTTGTTTTCTTCAAATGAAATCTTACCTTTTAATAATTGTTATTTATCAGTTGAAAAACAAATAGAAAAATCTATATTGAATATTTCTAACTAACATATTCGATTAGGTTATTCAATGATAAATCATTAGAAGATTCATCTACAATTTAATGAAGATTTTTATCTTGATCAACATCTTATAGATTACTTTCATCATCAACTATCTATATTATATATTTAAATGAAAATCCAATAATAAAAACAAAATAGATATTTTTTTTTAAATCTTTTCTTGTTTTCATAAAGATTTTCATTTGGATTCAACATAAACTCAAGTTGCGCACAAGTTTCTATATATATAACGATAAATGATCTTGTTATGGAAATTAATACTGGATCAATTAATTAAAGGTAAGAAAAAGAAATATCGATTTTAATAAACGTTAGATCCTTGCCCTTTTTTCTAATAAATCAATTGAATCAATATTCAGATTTCGATTTATTTAAATTATATTTCGGGTGTGAGATATGGGTGAGTGAGTGTGTGCTTGTGGACGTAGGTGTAGGTCTTGGTCTCCCTCTAACCCACACCCACACCCTAATTGGTCGCCTTCAGTCTTTGTCTCCAGAGAAAAAATTCAAGACATATATAAAGGGAAAATAGCATTGAATCGTTTCATTACTCTAAGATATCTGAAGTCAATCATGATCCTTCTTACGTCTTGAAGAAATAAAAAAAATTTTCAAATATAGAACATTACTAGTCTCAATTAATAAAAGAATGAGACATTGCAATGCAAGGAATAGGAGCACTTTCGAAAACATCATAATGTCTAGACAGTTTTCGTGCTGATCAACAATATGACAATTCTTGAGATTTTCAAATCAATCTCACTTTTAATATCGTAGATTAGTTTGACTTGATTATTGAAGCAGTAAGATAATTAAAACGAAAAAAACTCTTGTACGGTAATGATTTCAGCTTACTGATTGACACATAAATAGTGACTGTTAGAGTAGCATAAACAGCAGATAAATCTTGATCATTAAAATTGAATTTCCGTCATAGTTTTGAAATATAAGGAAATCGAATTTAGAGTTTAAATCGATTAATAATTGACTTCCTGTTAGAGGTCATACATAGCATATGATGGAGAAATAATTATGTCTTTTGATTCGACAAGTTTAAATAATCAAATTTTCTGTTAAGATTATTTGTTCTATTATTTTTGCTTCATATAATGCACAAATGTCCGAGAGATCTTATCTGGACTGACAAACAATTAATTGTATTAGAAAGTACTGAGTAGTCAATTATTCATCAGAGCAGATCTATACATAGAAAACGTAAACATTTTAAAAATTGCTCAAGCTTTCCTTTCAATCTGAGATAGTTCTAGTTTACTTTCAAATAGATCAATCTTCTCTAAACCGATGATGACAAGATCTATAAAGTAGAGATAGTATTTAACTAAAGAATTAGCAGGAAATTAGATCTAAGAATAATAGTGGGAGAAACTAACCTTTGAAGTCAAAACAATGACTTACAATCTATAGGGATTAAGTCAATTATTTATTGACAACTATAAAAAGTAAAGGAAAAAAAAAAGATCTATGTTATTGAGAACTAATCAGAAATGTCAATGAACGACATTAAAAATATTGATAATTATTTAAAATTTCTTTCTCTTAGTCAATTAATCAATTCTATTGAAAACTATAATTAAATTAATGTTAGATTAATATTTATTTATTTATATTTTTATCTATTTACTATTTGAAAACGTTCTGCAGAACTTCTTTCGCTTTCCTCACTTCGTTCATATTTCCATTCAGATTAATTAGACATTTTTCTATTTACGCATTTATCTATTTTTCTTCAGATTCGAGATCAATAGAATGCAGTCGACATCATATTTTAGTCATTGATAGATATACAATCATATGATCTTTTTATGCATGTCATCGGCAGCTACAAAACTGTTTCCTTTGTTTTTATCGATCAACTTTTCCTATGGAGAAAAACCAAAGAGATGTTCATCAAAAAAACAAACTATACTTTTTGTAATTGCTGATGTAACTTTTAAGTTGAGATGCATGATTGTATATCCATTAAGGACTGATAAAATATTATCAAAGACTATCATATAAAGTGTCTGTATTCAATTTTAAAAATGAAATTGAATTTTTATTGTAATAAACATGTAAATAATATCTTTTCAGACTGTTCATTTTGGCAATATATGAAGATCATGTGACCACAATACAAGTTTACACAGTTTATTGTTGTCTCCATTGTGTCATTATAGGTTATTATTTGTGTTGTTGCTTTATTTTTTGGTCATATATATTCGTAAATGATAACTAGTTAGACATTTTACTTTTATTTGAATGAACTTTTTGAATCGGAACATTAAAACTACAGTAGTTTATAAAAGCGTTTTGCAGAAAACTTTGTTTTTCATCAAAGTCTACATAACGTTGTAATATGATGTTATATGTCAGCGAATTCTAATATGATTTTGAATATAGTTATGCTTAACCTATTCGCTTGTGTCATGTACAAATAGCTTTATATTTGAATTGGTAAATGAATAAAAAAAACTTCCATGTAGAACAAAAAATATTTTTTTTTAATTTCATTCAAGAAGAAATGATTCATAAAATGTTATACCCTAATTCAATCACAAATATTATGTCTTTCAGAAAAACTTCATAAATTCTTTCTACAACATTTTGTCAAACCAATTGATAGTTTTCGAAATACAGTAAATATTGCTTGATCTTTTAAACTATTTTATTTTGAAAATTCATTGGTCATTGATGAGCAATAGTCGTCACAAAGACAACCATTTATCATTCTTGTCCATACTCATCCGAGTAATTCTACTGAAAACCTTCTACCTAATACAAAAATATCTCGGATAGAGCTGAAATTTTCATCATTTCAAGATCTCATTATCCTAACATCTTTTGTGAAAAATCCTGGATATTTTCAATAGGCATTATAGCGTATTTTGAGATTGCAAAATACTATCTTCAAGTCCCATCATGATCACTTTCATGATTTTCACACTCACACCTACAGTCAAAAACAAACGAAACTTTGTAGATAGAAAATGTTTATCGTTTACTCATGCATGAATATCATAGAGGTCAGTTCGTTCACTCAAGAATGACATTTTCATTGAAAAACAAATATTTTTTGATAGTAGAGATCATAAGAGTGTGAATAAGCGTGTAGCTCTTCTTCTGATTCTAATCTCATATCCGCTATTACCTCTGGCTTCGTATGCAAACGAAATCTCACCAACAACGAATAAAGAAACAACTCTTGAGATGTGCCCATGTTATGCATATCTACAAGTACACATTCATACCCACACCCGTATATATCTTTGAATTTCTTACTGTTTTTCTTTATTTTTCGAAATCAAATTCAAATATAATCAATCTAGAGTAAGTCATACTTTATTCAAAAATGTAATTCTAAAACAAATTATCCATCTTGTGTTTGTGATTCCATCATATTTTGGCAAGGATGTCTATTTGTTAGTAAACTAATTGCTCGTTGTTTTTGTATTTTAATGTTTACATTAGTATAAAATGGCATTTCACAATTTTGATCCATATAAATTTTAGCATAATACCAACTAAAAAATATAACTTGTTTACATATATTGCATTGACTATTCTT